GGCCTGAACTCTGGGCCTGGGTGCTGTCCCTCAGCTCTTCAGCTCAAGGCTAGCTCTCTACCACTTGAGCCACAGCGCCACTTCCAGCTTTTTTTTTTCTTTTTGCTTATGTGGTATTGACGAATCAAACCCAGGGCCTCATACACGCAAGGCAAACACTCTACTACTGAGCCACCTTCCTAGCCCCCTCCCCCCAGGTTAAAATTCAATACCTTGCCTGAAAAAAAAATAAAGGCTTAAGTGGAGTACCTGCCTAACAGCAAGTCTGAGGCCTTCCCTGTGTAAAGACAATAGTATACCACAATAAAGTGTGTGCAGACTTACTCTCTCACAGATTTGTGTTTTTCACTTGGAAGCAGTGGTTGCAGTCAGCCCCACTAGCTGAGGCGGTCTACAGAAACATGCTGAGTGAGACCTAGGGGAACCTGATCTGGTATGAACCCAGCCTACCTTGCATGCAGACTCCAGCCCACAGATGGCCTCTCCTTGGTAGAAATCTGGGCTCTGTCTCCAGTGCTTGGGGATGGGGTACTTTGCTTTTCAGACTTAAATGTTCACAGAATTTTTTTTTAATGTTTGTTACAAGCAAAAACTCTGTTTATTTGCCCATTTCACAAATGAACAGTCTCAGCTAAGTGGACAGTTTGTTTTGTCTCTTTTGGATGGATAGTGAGCAGGGATCTGACCTGGTATGTTATCTTCATGCTCTGTGCCTTTGCTCAGACTTATTACTGGATAATATGATGGCAATCTGTATCTACTTGCTCTCCCCTCAATTTAGAGATCCAGCTTTCATTTTTTTTGGGGGGGGGGGTCTGGTCATGGGCCTGGGCGCTGTCCCTCAGCTCTTCAGCTCAAGGCTAGTGCGCTACCACTTGAACCACAGCGCCACTTCCAGCTTTTTTTCCTGCTTATGTGGTGCTGAGGAATCAAGCCCAGGGCCTCATGCATGCAAGAGCTCTATCACTGAGCCACCTTCCCAGCCCCTTTTTGATGTTTTTAATATCCAGATTCCCTGAGAAAAAATGTGTGGCATTTATCTGTGTTGGGCTTCTTTTTTTTTTTGCCATGCCCGGGGCTTGAACGCTGTGCCTGGGCACTGTCCCTGAGCTTCTTTCTGTTCAAGGCAGAAAAAAGAAAAGAAAAAAAGTACTTGGGCCATGGCACCACTTCTGGCTTTTTCTAATTACATTATTGGAGAAGAGAGTCTCACGGACTTTCTTGCCTGGGCTGGCTTCCAACCGTGATCCTCAGGTCTCGGCCTCCAGAGGTAGCCAGGATTTCAAGCCTGAGGCACAGGCGCCTCCTCCATGTTACTACAGATGACCTGCGGTCGTTCTTCATGGTCGTGCAGGATAGAGCCGCGCGTGGTGTCGATAGGCCGGGAGTAGTCTGTGGCTGGGTACCAAGGTGACATGACAGCCGGGTCGCGGTGCTACCGGGCCCGCCCGAGGGGCTCGCCGCCCCTGGCGCTGCTCCTGCCATTCATTTCGGGGTCCGCCGCCCTCGTTCCCTTGACACCGCGCTGACCGGCTGCAGGGCCCTGGACGCGGCTCCCGCATGGGGAGCCCCTCCCCGCTCACCCCGCAGCAGCTGCCCGCCCTGGAGGAGCCGCCCCAGTCCAGCGCCCGCCGGGCTCCGCGCGCCAGGGGCGGGATTTCCGTCGCCGGCCTTCTGACGCCTTAGTCCGGAGCCGGAAGTGCCTGCGAACTCGTGTGCTTCCCGGCCGGGCGTCCTCTGGCGAGCGGGGGCGGGCTGGGGCCTCAGGGGAGAGGGCGCGGAGGGCGGCCTGGCGCCCCGGGCTCCGTCCCGGCGACTCGTCCTCCGTCCCCCCCTCATGCCCGGCGCGGCGGACGCTGAGCGCTGCCCGGGGTCTCCACCCATGGACACGGCCCAGGTGAATAGCGGTGTTTTCCGCATGTGGGGGTGGCCGGGCCAGTGAAGACGAGCGCGAGACCTGGACACCGAGTTGGAGGCTCCGGAAACCTCGGGTCTCTAGGCCCTAGAGACCGTGTAGACGTCCGGAGTCCGGCCCAGAATGGTGGCCTGGGAGCCGGGGCGGGTTGTGGGGGCTGAGACTCGGGGCTGGGCGGCTGCAGTATGGAGGAAAAGGGTAGCTCTAGGACCTGGATGCAATCCATTGTCACAGCCCGGATGCCTGTGGATGGTTGTCTGGCGGTAGGGAAGGAAGAAACCTGGTGGTTTCTTAAGCAGGATGACCAGATTTCTCAGGGAGATCTCCGTGC